CTGCTACATACTTTCACCACTAGTGTGCACGCCTTGATTATTCCACCGAGTACATGTTGTTTCCAATCAGTAGAGGTGTTGAGTAATTATGTCCACCAAAACTTAGACAAATATGAAGAAATCACCTAATATCTTTTTTTCATTATTGAAATTTAAATACGAGACTTCATAGTTCTCCTGCCACTTCGTTGACCACTAAGTTACATTCTTGGGTGCACATTCTCTATCTTTCTCCCCCAAAAATAATAATTAAACCTCAATTATGAACAAACTTGGCCCTCATTGTTCATGATCCTCCATTTAAATTCATCTCAGTTAAACTTATACAAAATAAAAATAAAAAGTGTTATAAGTTTTTCATATTTAATGGTACCATCAAAAAGCAGAAAGCCAGAAACTCCATGTAACTTACAATATGATTAAAACATAGTCTCAATTAATGGATATAGTCCATATAAATCTTCTTTTTTCATGATGCTTTTCGAATGAGACTTCAATTGGAAATGTCATAGTTGTTTTGGGTGTTTCTCGTGGTAAATGGCTTGGTGATTTTTCAATCATAACTGAGGTTTTCACATCCATTAGAGCCGAGGTGTGAAAAATTCTCAATAGTTTTCAAAAAGCTTGGGACAGGGGGTGACGATAAGTTGTCTTACAAATTGGTTATTCTAGTGTAGTTTATGTGTTGTAAGCTGGAGGGTCTTTATCTCATCAGAATGGTAATGTTAACCATATTTGCCAGATCTAGGCTAGAAACTGGTGATCCTTATTGCTCATCCATGGGAAGACTAATTCATTAGCTAATGACTAAGCCAATTTGGTATTTTATTATGAGTCTTATTTTGAATGGCATGAACTCGTGCATTCTAGCATTTCTTCGTATTGTGGGAGAAGTTGCTATAGAATTTTATTCTCTCGCTTGATTTCGAACTAGTTCTTTTTCTTTGTTGCTTTGTTTATCTTTTAACTTTTTTTAGTATAAGGTGCAATTGTATTATATGGTATATATATGGTTCGTCATCAGGGGTGGACCCAAATGGAGTCAAGAGGGTTCATATGAACCCGCTTCGTTGAAAAATAACACTGTGTATATAGGTATATTTTTTCTGTCTTCAAAAAAGTAAAGGTTTAAAGATTAATTTAAACCCGCTTCAAACAACTAAATTGCCTAGCCTGCTGGTAAAGAGGGTTCAAATTTTCCACACGATCCTGAGTTCAAAACCAGCTAGTCATGTATGACCTCTATTTTTATTTTTTTTAATATAGGTCTCTTTTCCCATAAAAACGACGCCGTTTTATGTTTTTATAAAATATCCCCCAATTCCCCAAATCAGAAAACGATCAGAATCTCTAATCTCCCTCGATGCCTCTCTCTCTCATTCTCTCTCTCTCTCTCTCTCTCTCCCTCTCTCTCTCTCTCGTCAATTTCCATGAGAATCGCCTCCTCCGTTAGCCCCTGCCGAGAAGGTCATCTCCCTCAAATACAAAGGGCTTCATCTAGGTATCTAACTAATAGTTCAGGTGATCAATAAGAACCAATTCTAGATTTTTAATTTGTAGTATTTATTCCTCTTTTGCATAAAGATTTAATCCCAATAAATTTTCTTCACCTCTATGTGCTTTCTTCTCTTTGTTTTAGTTCAATTTCAAAGAACATTGCTTCATAGTCGTCTCCTCCATTAGCCATAAGCCACTGTCGCTTCTCGTTGGGTCGGCTCTCTCCGTCTCTCGCCGTTAGCCCGTCAATTGTCACTATCAGGTTTCTCACTTATTTATATTGCAGATTTTTGTAATTTATGCTTTGGAAAAAAATTCAGATTGTTTTAGTGGGTTTTGGCTGAGAAATTGAGAGTAATAAATTTGCTTATATTGAGAAATTAAGCACTTTTTCTCTTTGGTTATGAAAACTTTCGGCTTGTTGTTGTTGTTTTTGAGTAACAAATCCCTTTTCAGTTTTAATGTAATGAACGTATAAAAAGTCTTCTCAAGCAAGAAATGTTGAAACTGATTATACTTAAACACAATGAATTTTTACACATCAATGTATTTTAACCGATTATATTAGAATACTGATTGCATTTTTATTAGACTATCAAATTAGGATTACTATTTAAACAATTGCCTATTATTGTATGTCTAAGGTGATGATATAAGAAATTCTCACTGTCATGTTTCACCTTTGCTATTATCCATGGATGAAAGTTTTATCGCAAAGTTCTGTAATCTGATGAGTGATATTTAGTTGGGTTGTCTTCGGCCACATTAATTCTTCTAGTTTAAATTTAAGGTTAAACATATACAAAATTATTCTTCTAATTCTAATTCTAATTTGGTAATCCAGCTTGTGTTACAATGAAGAGATTTTACTCTCCATTATCTTCCAAGTTGCCACAACCAAGTTCATCCTCTCCAATTGCTACTCCCGTGGAACAAAATTTGAACCAATTAGAAGAGAAACCTCAATCCTCTAAAAGACAAAGACAAGGAATAGATCGCGATTCTTTACCGACTGATCCAAAGGAGAGAATACCCATTAGAGATTATCATCCAAATGAGCGTGATGAGATTAGAAGAGAATATCTCCGAAGAGGTCCTTACCAACCCGATATCATAAGTTTCCTCAAAGAGATTTTTTCGGGCTTAAAGCATCGTTTCAATCCTAAATGGTTTGATGAATATCGTAATTGGTTGGAGTACAGTGTGATAGAAGATGCAGCTTATTGTTTGTATTGTTACTTGTAATTGCCAGAGCTGCCGATACTCGTTGGGGTTTGCAGTACAAATCTTTTAAGAACTTTATTTTCCGTTTGGCTCAATTATTGATGTTCTTGATACTATCGTTGTTGATGCCCGGGCTTCAGAAGAAAGAGCTAAGGCAAAGGGATATTTTAGCACTTGTCAAACATTTGAGGTTGCTTTCATGTTGTACCTAATGAGAGATGTTTTGGGGATCACAAACGAGCTTAATACATCCTTACGAAAAAAGGAGCAAGATATTGAAAATGCTATTCTACTTGTTGAAGTGGCAAAGAAACGATTGCAAAAGCTAAGAGAAGAAGAATGGGGTTTACTATTGATAAGGTGTCTGCATTTTGTGTCAAGTATAATATTTTGATACCAAACTTTGTTGACTTCTATGTTAACTCCGGAAGATCTCGACGTAAAGTTGCTGATTATGTTATTTTACATCACTATCGTGTTGATATATTTTTTAAGATTATTGATTGGCAAGTTCAAGAACTCAATACTCGTTTTAATAGGGTGACAACGAACTTGCTTGTTAGAGTAGCTTGCTTAAATCCAGTTGATTCATTTTCCAGTTTTGACATAAACAAGATATTGATGATGGCTGAATTGTATCCGGACGATTTTGATGAGAATATAATGGTTATGCTCAAGAATCAACTTGAAACTTATGTTGTTGATGTTTGTGATTTTGATGAAAGGTTCTAAAACCTACAAGGACTTGTTGATCTTTCTGAAACACTAGTTAAGACAAAGAAGCATTTGAATTATCCATTTGTGTTTCGCTTTCTGAAATTTGCTTTGCTTCTACCAGTTGCCACTGCTACAATTGAAAGAACTTTCTCGGCGATGAAGTTGATCAAGAGTGAATTGCGAAATCGAATGAATGACGAATTCATGAGCGGTTGTTTGGTACCTTATGTAGAAAGAAAAATATTTAACACCATTTCTGATGAGACTATTATGAATACGTTTCAGGAAATGAAAACTCGTAGAGGACAGTTGTAATAATATATTTTATTAATATATAGTTTTTGTTGACCTCTTTGTATATTTGCTTCTTTGCATTTTAAACCCGCTTGATAAAAATCCTGGGTCCGCCACTGTTCGTCATGAATCTACTACAAATATGCATTACATATTTGCCTATTGTTAATTCAAGGAAATAATTATCTAGTACAACTTTTAGGTATAATATAAAAATAAGCAACAAGTTGTAATTCAACGGATGATAATATAGTGGTATGGTTGACTAATTAGCTAACATGGCTTAGTGGAAATGATATTAGTGGATTGGTGGATAGTCACGGTGGATATAGTTTTTTTGCGACGGATTCATCCGGACCAAATATTTTTGAAACGAGACATAGATTTATATGTTATCACTAAAATTTTAGTAAATATTAAACTTGAAACCACAATGTTAAAGTATAAAGAGTCCGTATTAAATACTTTAAGGTGGAACCTATTAAATTTAAATAATAAATCTGCATGTACTTTATAGTTCTCGACTTCCATACAAGGTTGAGCACTTGTTCAATAAAAAAACACACTTCCTCCGGTCCAAAATAAGTGATTTTTTGGCCTTTTTCTTGTGGTCCAAAATAAGTGATTTTTCCAGATTTCAAGAATGAATTAATTATTTTTTTCATACATTGTCCTTGAAGTAAATGGTGTTGGAATATGTGTTAGGAGTGTTTATGTGAGATAGTAAAGGTTAATATGGTCAATTCCATTGCTAATTAATGCTAAAAGGTGGATTTCTTAATTTGTGTGAAAAACATCCAAAAAATCACTTATTTTGGACCGGAGGGAGTACAATTTTAAAAAATTATAGAGTACTGAGATCACTCAAATTTCCTTTGTCCGGAATTTTATCATGTGAATCTGTGGCTAAAGAGGAAAGGAGAAACACGCCGGGCACGAAAAAAATTAGGCGATTTCTTTTCAACTGCTTAAGCTTTGGTGGGCAGAATTATTTGGTACTTAGGAGGTAGCAAATGACCGATGAAATAATCGAGGTGTGTGCAAGCTGGCCCACACACCGTCGTCATTGAAAAAAAATGTGGCTCAATATTTAAAAAAAAAATTAACCCAAGAAGTGGACCTTATAGTGAACTTCAAAAAGTGCAAAGCCACAAACTAGACCGACCCGGTTTATCCAATGGGTTAACCAGTTACGTGGCCTTATCTAAACTTACTATGTTATCCAATAAGAATCTATAACTAGATTTCTACAAAAATAGTACCAACACCTCAACTTCAACTGCTAATATTTTCCATACCTTCATATTTTCATGGTTTATTTATGCTCATTTTCTCACTCTACAAACAAGATTAACAGGTACATCTTTCTCTTTTATAATTCAGTTCAAGATCATTTCTCCATTACATTGAAAAGATCACGAACGGAAAGAAGTACAGTGAGAATTGAACGCACACCTATTGTACCAATAGACTGTAACATTTGAATTAAATACTTAATAATACTAACCAAATGACTCGAATTATTTCAGCTGAGATTTTTCCTCATTGTCTCTTTTTCTCCAATAACCTAAAGCCAATATCTCAATCTCAAAAGCACACTTCTATTGTTAGATGTAATAGCCATGAATTTAGTAAAGTAAAGCCTAGAAATAACCAAAGGGTTAAAGTTTCTACTGAAAATAGACATGCCTATGTACAACAATCCAATGATTTGAAAGCAACAAATATTTTGAAAGTGTTAAATTGGTCATGTAAAGTTGGCAAATATGATGAAACATTGTATCTTCTTGATTGCAAAGTGAAGAATAATGGTTATAAACCAGATGTTATTCTTTGTACTAAGCTTATTAAGGGATTTTGCCACTCGAAAAATTCGGACAAAGCATTAAAAGTTATGCAGATTTTAGAGGAATTTGGTGAACCTGATGTATTTGCATATAATGCTCTTATTAGTGGATTCTGCAAAATGAATAAAATTGAAGAGGCGAATAAGGTGTTGAATCGGATGAAATCCCACGGATTTCCTCCGGATGCTGTTACTTATAATATCTTGATTGGAAGTCTTTGTGATAGGGGGAAATTAGGGTTAGCATTGAAATTGTTGGATCAGTTAAAAGAAGAAAGAAATTGTAAGCCTACAGTTATTACATATACAATCTTGATAGAGGCAACGATTCTTGAAGGCGGAATTCATGAAGCAATGAAGCTTCTTGATGAGATGTTATCGATAGGGCTTCAACCTGATATGTATACTTATAATGCAATTATAAGGGGAATGTGTAGAGAAAAGATGATGGATCAAGCTTATGAGTTTGTTAGGAGTTTGCCATCTAAGGGTTGCAAACCGGATGTGATTTCTTATAATATATTGTTAAGGGCGTTATTGCATAAGGGGAAATGGAGCGATGGAGAGAAGTTAGTGAACGAGATGTTTTCTGCAGGGTGTGAACCAAATGTGGTTACTTATAGCATTTTGATGAGTTCTTTGTGTAGAGATGGGAAATTAGACGAGGCGATCAACTTGTTGAAGATAATGATGGATAAGGGATTAACACCAGATACTTTCACTTATGATCCATTGATTTCTGCATTTTGTAAAGGAGGGAGATTAGATTTGGCTATTAAGTTCCTCGACTATATGATTTCGAATGGTTGCTTGCCTGATATAGTGAACTACAACACTATACTTTCTACAATGTGTAAGAAAGGGAAAGCCGACGAAGCAATGGAAGTATTTGAGAAGCTCGCGGAAATAGGCTGTCCACCTGATGTGAGTACTTATAATACAATGATGAGCGCGTTATGGAATAACGGAGATAGAGCTAGGGCGTTGAGATTGGTTTCGGAGATGATAGAAAAAGGGATTGATCCTGATGAGATTACTTATAATTCGCTAATATCATGTTTATGCAGAGACGGATTAGTGAACGAGGCGCTTGACTTGTTAGGAGATATGGAAGGGAATGGTTTTCCACCTACTGTGATTACTTATAACATTCTGCTTCTTGGATTGTGTAAAGCTCATAGAGTTGACGAGGCGATTGAAGTGTTAAGAGTAATGGTAGACAAAGGGCGTCGGCCAAATGAAACGACGTACATTCTGTTAATAGAAGGTATTGGTTTTTCAGGATGGAGAGTTCAAGCAATGGAGGCTGCTAACTCTCTTTATCAGAAGAATGCTATTTCAAAAGAATCAGTTCAACGTTTGAGAAAAACATTTCCTATATCTGATGTTTATAAAGATAGTACTGGAAGGGAAGGCTTGGCGTAATTGGTAAAGTTGAGGTCACGAGTTCGAGCTGTGGAAACAGCCTCTTGGAGAAATGAAATGTAAGGTAAGACTGCGTACAATAGACCCTTGTGGTCTGGCCCTTCCCAGGACCCCACACACAGCACCGAAGCTGCCCTTACTCGTACAGTCCGAGCAATGTTCAATACTTGTATATCATTGACAGTAATAAAAGATGTCAGGCTTCTTTATCTGCAGTTTTTACATAGTGTTCGTTAGAGGAAAATACCTCTCTAATATGTGGCCAAATCTGGTGCTTTTTGACAACAAACAATATTGCTTTGGACTGTGTTGTCGCTGAAAAAATAAACTGTTAATTGATTGATGCCTCCTCAACATATTATAGGTTATACCCCGCATCGAAAGTACTTAATGCGGAACCATGCAACCTAAGGGTTTGCAATTGCAGTTTCTGCCCACTCATATTCTATGCTACATACTACAGTCATAACATATTTTTTTCCCTTTCTTGGACTATATACTAAGTATCTTTTATAATTTCTATTAACTTAAAACGTACATTACCTAAGTCTAGCTTATAAGTAAGACATTTTATTCTAGACAATCTGTGAGTCTACTTATTTATCTAGTGAGCACTCAAATTTGCAGGATTAAACTAAGGGCCCGTTTGGCCATAATAAAGAATTCACTTTTTTCAGATTTTTTTTTTACTTTTTTCGGAGTAAATGTTTGGCCATAAAATTTTCAAATATCACTTGAAGTTCTTTTCGAAATTTGAAAAATTCTAAAAAATTATTTTTCAAAATTTTCATTTCAAACCGCTCACAATAAATCAAAAACAGCTCCAAATGGGTTAACTATGTCCAAACACAACTTTAATTTTCTAATACCCATTTTTACTTGAATTTTTTTTTATTTATAATTTTTTTCCGGAATTTCACAATTCTTATGTCCAAATGCCCACTAAGAAGTAAGAACGTCTATGAGATTTAATAATAACGCAAAAAGATACACCCTAATCCGCTCTATTTGATGCGACTGATGTTTAACTAGGGACATTTAGGGTGTGTTTGGTATGAAGGAAAATGTTTTTCATGGAAAATGAGTGGTTTTATCATTTATCTTCCCTTGTTTAGTTGGTGAGTGGAAAACATTTTCTGGAAAATATTTTCTATTGTTTGGTTAGAGAGTAGAAAATATTTCTTTTAGGAAAATATTTTTTATGCAACTCTCCTCACCCCCCGCCCCCCACCCCCTTACCCAAGTCTCTAAAAATCGGCACAACCCAAAGCAACTAATGTGTTGCTTTACTTTTTTACGTAAAAACTGCGAACTTTCGAACCCGTAAACTTTATAATTTCTAAACCCGTAAACTTTCAAACACATAAACCTCTAAACTCATAACTTTGGAACTTGTAAAATTTCGAACCTGTAAACCGACAGATGAAAAAATTAAAATTAAAAATATATATAAAAAAAATATTTTTTTGCACGGGGGGGGGGGGGGGGGGTAGGGTTGGGTAGGAGGGGCGAGTGAGGGTGGGTTTGGCGGGGAATAGCAGAGTGGGTGGTGACGGAAAAAAAACTAGAAATCTTAAAAAAAAATTCTTTTTGGAGAGAGGTGGAGTTTGGGTGGGTGGGTGTGGGGGTGTGGAGGTGGGTTGGGGGATAGGGTGGGGAAGGTTGAGAAGGAGTTTTGGAAAATGTTTTCCATTCTCTTGATAAGGAAAACATTTTCCTCCAGTTGAAGGAAAATGAGTTGATAAGAAAAATATTTTCCAAAATATTTAAGCCAACCAAACATGGGAAAATTGGAAACATTTTTCGGAAAATATTTTCCTTCATACCAAACTAAGGCTGTATGGTGGGTCGGGCCCGGGCCTAAATGGGCTAAACGGGCCGGGCTAAACGGGCCTGGGCTTAGCGGTCCTGGGCTTCGCGGTCTCGGGCTTCGTGGGCTCAACGGGTAGGACCAGCCCGTGACGGGCCTAAGCCCATATGGTCCTGGGCTAAATGGGCCGGGCTCGTGGGCTTAGCGGGCCTAACGGGGGGTTTTTTTTTTTTATTTCAGGGCTTTTTTTTTAAATTTTTTTTATTTAAGGCAATTTCTTGTAAACCATATGTGTATGTATATATATAAATTGCTCTTATGCATGGCTATATAAATATANCGCCATAACCTTTTTCCCATATCCTATATATATATATATATATATATATATGTATATATATATATATATATATACACATATATAAGCTATATAATTTACAAGAAATTGCCTTAGGTAAAAAAAATTAAAAAGAATAGTCTAGGCCCGTTTGGGCCCGGGCCCGACCCACATAGCCCGGGACCATTACTACACGGCCCCGGTCCCGGTCTGGTTACACCCAAAAGCTCATGATGCCCAGGTCCATTTAAGCCCGACCCACGAAGACCGGGTCCGTTTGAGCCTAGACCGTTTGAGCTCAGCCCACGAAGCCCGTTTGGGACCGGGCCCGGATCGGATGCCAGCCTTAGGATTGAGAAACTTCTTGCTCGTTGTCTAGATCTCTCCCATTTCTGAGACTCACTGCCATGAGTTGATTCAGGTTCTGCTCCTTTGGATTAACGTTCGTATATCTGCAGGCAATGTTCCTTGTGGGCGATTTTTTAAGGCCATAGATAGTTGTCCCAATTGAGTTTCAGTGCCTTTGATTGCTGAATCATGTGCAGCTAACTTCTCTTGCATCTTTCCATTTGTCCCAACAAGTTGTTGAAGCATACCCCTGATTTCAATCATGTTACTATCCTGCTGCTGTTGAGGTGGTTGGTAGGTCAAGTGTTGCTGGTGTTGCTGATTATAGCCATGTTGCCTTTGGTAAGGTATGACTTGGCCTTGTGGTCGTGCTCCTCCTGGATTGGGGTTGTGCTATGGCTGGTTCGGTCTGTACTGCTGGTTTGCTATTGGTCCCCATTACTGCCCACCTTGCCTCTGACCTCCAAAATTATTGACATAATTCATGTGTGCTGTGAATCCCTAGTTGTCATTCTCTCCACTCCACGAGCACATATATGACTGGTTTATGCAAGGAGTGCACAAGCCTCAATTTGTAGTATCTACAATGTGCACCTATTTTGTACCCATCTCATCGATTTTCTTTGTCAGCAAGCTCATCTGGGTCATAAGAGTGGCTATGTTTTCTGCGTGTGTGTTGTTTGGGTCAAGAGCGACAAAATGCATCATTGGAGTGAGTGTTGTGTCTCTCGTCATCCAACCTGAATTTTGAGACATCTTGTCTAGAAGAATCTTGCACTCTGTGAAAGTTTTGCTCAAGAATGCACCCCTAGCTGAAGCATCTACATTGGCCTTCAGACTGTCAGCCAAACCCATATAAAATCTCTGTCCCAACATCTGATCCGAACCCTTAAACCTCTCCCAGGTCTCTTGCAAAGTCTCAGTCGGTTTCTGCTTGAATTGCAATATCTCATCAATCTGCCTCGGAGTTTTATTTAAGGCTGTATGGTGGGCTGGGCCCGGGCCTAAATGGGCTAAACGGGCCGGGCTAAACGGGCCTGGGCTTAGCGGTCCCGGGCTCTGGCGGTCCCGGGCTTCGCGGTCCCGGGCTTCGTGGGCTCAACGGGTAGGACCAGCCTGTAACGGGCCTAAGCCCATATGGTCCTGGGCTAAATGGGCCGGGCTCGTGGGCTTAGCGGGCCTAACGGGCTTTTTTTTAATTTTTTTTATTTAAGGCAATTTCTTGTAAACCATATGTGTATGTATATATATAAATTGCTCTTATGCATGGCTATATAAATATATGTAGTATATATAATATAGAAATCTAATTATTAAAGTGTTTGACGAAAATGTAAAATAACAAATCAATAGTAAAACTAAATTGGCATGCATAATAAATTAATAACAAAGTACAACATGAAGCATAAATACGTCTAATAATTTTAAAATAACACAAATTGTTGAAAAATCTTAAAGACGAATTTGCGGATAAATACCCTCAACACAATACTTTATATGCCTCCTTAAAATGCCTGTGGTACACCCTGAACGAAAATTTAAGACTCTTCCACAGTTCTTGCACTTTAATATTTGGCCTTCTTCATTTTCTTCAAGCACTTCATAGTATTGCGAAACAAATAAGCGCACTCTTTCCGAACGAGGCATGATTTAACTTGAAAATTGAGATTGAGACTTGAAGTCTTGAAAATTGGAGATTGAGAGATTGAGAGAAATTTAGATTGAGAAATGAGTATTGAGTATTGAAATGAAGAAGAGGGAGGGGGGTACTTATAGTGTTAGAGAAGGTTAGTTTTGTAAATTGAAAAAAAAACGGCTATTTGTGCAATATGACCGTTGGTGGTCATTGGGGGTGGGGCCCTCATTTTGAAAAATCTTATTTTGTAGTATATATAGTACTACTTCATCATGTATATATAATATATATAGTATACTAGTATAGTATACTAGTATAGTATACTATATATAGTATGTTATGTATATATATTCCCTTATATATTTCTTGTAGTATATATTGTATGTTATGTATATATATCCCCTTATATATTTTCTTGTAGTATATATAGTATGTTATGTATATATATTCCCTTATATATTTTCTTGTAGTATATATTGTATGTTATGTATATATATTCCCTTATATATTTTCTTGTAGTATATATTGTATGTTATGTATATATAACATATCTTATAAATAATAGCAAGTTAAAGACAAAAAAATATTGCAAAGAGATATTCAAGGGCATGTCTTATAATTTTTATTACCAAAAATGGCATATCTTTCTTAGTCTTCTTCCCCCCAATGGAATGAGCACAACAAGGTACTAATACCACCATTAAAAGGAAAAAAAACTAAAGAAGATATGCCAAACTACAAGTTACACCATAATCTACATTCTATCTCTAACAAATCTCATAAATCCTTCAAGGTTCGGAGGAGGTTCCGTTGGTGGTGGCGGAAAAGAAGCTTGTTCATCACCGCTTCCGGGCGAAGCAGTTAGATAATCACAGTCATTATTACTTCTACCAATATCAGTAGTAATAGAAATCCGATTAGTTATATGAGTAAATAAATACCGCAAATATTGTTCATATTCATGTTTATATTTATAAATATCGCTCTTAACTGTTGCGCGAGGCCACTAAGTAGGATTAAAAACTTTTCTAATATAATGCACAAAATTAAGGTTAGAAGGAAAAGTATATGGTAAGCACATAACGGTAACCATCTTTGCTAATTCTTCACGATCTTTATTAGGATCGTAATATAAAATACCACCGGTCACAGTGTTAATTCCTGGTCGAACTAGATTTGAACCTGTACTAGGGTTAACCGCAGTATCTACACTTGTCCCCTCTTGCTGCGCTTTCATTTGTAAATATTTAACTTTATCTCTAGAGTGTGTTTGTATGTGCCTAGCCAAACTACCCGTACCGCTACGGCCTTATTTTGTTCTCTTACTTGAGTAAAAAAATTTCAAACTATTGATGTTTCTAGGCGTTTAGAAGGTTGTCTATTAAAACTAGGGGTTTCTACAGGTGGGTCGGGCGGGGCATCAGTTGGGTTATTAACAGGACTAGTAGGTGTATCATCTAAATCCGGTTGGGTTTCATCTACATCCTCATTTTCCTCATCATTTTCTAAGATAGTTTGATTAGGATAAAGAACATTCATAACTTCTTCATTTAATTGTTCACCTTGTGCAACATTATGGCAAAATTCACTATCGAAAAATTAAAAACAAGGGTTATCACTATCAAGAATAATAGGAGCAGCAGGACGGGTAATAGGTCTGGGTCGGGGAGTCGGGGGAAGGTTAGTAGGTTGGAGACTACTTTCACCAATTTTAGCTTTTCCCTTACCACCAAACATTTTTTTCAAAGAAAATGCCATATTAATTACAATTATGCAAACTAAACACACAAAAATATATTCTTAAAACTTAAGAGTTGGAACGAGTTTACCGAATTGCCGAACAACTTCTTGAAAATTGAAAATCGTTGAAGACTCGAAGACTTGAATACTTCAATTCACCAACTTCACAATTTTTCACGAAATTGCAATAATAAAATAAGCAATTATAGAAGAGAAATTAGATATAGATTGAGAGAGATTGAGATAGATTGATGAATTGGTGAGTAAAAATGAAAGAATGAGGGGGTATTTATAGTTGAGAATTGGAAAAAAGTGTAATTATATAAAGTTCGGGATTAAAATAAAGTTTGGGGGCCAAATGGCTATTTTTTAAAGTTCCAAACGGTTGAAAATTAAAGGCCAACGGCTAGATTTTAAAATCTGACCGCTGGTCTTTTAAAAAAAATAAAAAAATTCCTTTTCAGAAAAGAGCCGTTGGAGCCCGTTAGGACCGTTAGGCCCGGTTGAACCGGCCCAGGACCGCCTGCCGGTCCCGGGCTTAGCGGTCCCGGTCTCGTGGGCCTCATGCAAGGGACCAGCCCGCCACGGGCTTTCTACACCATCAGGGACCGGCCCGCCGGGACCGTTTAGCCCGTTAAGACAGCGGGCCCGGTCCGGTCCCGGTCCCAGACCGGCCCACAATACAGCACTATACCAAACACACCCTTAAAGTAGAAAAAAGGTGAACATTAATTAATATTCAAGTAGATTTGACAAGTCATATCAATAAAGGTAAAATGAGAATAATATGAAAATACAACACACTAAAAAGAAAAATTTGTAAACTTTTATATCCAAGTAGATTTGAACAAGCTATGACAGTAAGAACAAAATAAGAATAATCCGAAAATATGACAAACTAACTAAAAGGAAAGAATTCTATATAAAATGGAATAAATAGAGTATACTGGGTAGTTGTTGTTGTTGTAGTTTTGATTATTTACATTGTCTCTTTTCCAACAGTCAAATAAACAGGGGCGATTGTGTGTGATCAAGGGTGGTCAACTGAATACCCTTCGCCGAAAAATTATAATGTGTATAGGCCTATAGGGTAAACTATTACTTGTTAGTGCTCAAAACATAGACTTTAAACACCCTTGCCCAGCCCACTAGCAAAGGGTGTCCAAATTTTGAACATCCTTATTGAATTTTCTGGCTTCACCACTGGTGTAAAACGAAATTGGCCGGAGAAAGGCATGGTGAGTGACATTCTTGTAAGGGTCCTAGCATAAATAATTCATGAAAAAAGAAATAAGCTCAAGAAATGCATAGGTATATGAACTCAATGATAGCTAGAAAAGCTACACAAAGAAGAGATAAAAACTTTGGAACTTAAGATGTTAGAAGAATGTAAATCTTTAGAATAACAACATCATTCGGAAATTCCACAAGGGCATTGTACTATAACCTATGGTCACCTAGATATACTCATGGCACCTGATAAAATAGGCCTTGTATGCACTGAACCACAGTTACAGCATTTCCTGTATAGAGAGGAATTATACCGCAATTAAAGAAGTCGCCATAGGAACTAGATTACAGATGCTAGCCAAAACTCTGACAAGCAGGTACAGGAGAGGGTCAAAAATTTTACCGCGCACAAATTAGAACAGATAAAGGAAATGGAAAGAAACCTACTAAAGGAGTACATTCCATTTGTGCTGAGGTGATATGTCCAATGATGTAAAGAGCTGAGATAAGGGTACTCTTTCTCTATTCCTAGAGATTTTCCATTCCCTCAACTTTTTCTGCGTTTCTGTGCTGCTGCTTTGTTCATATCTGTACCAGCTGTGCCCTTGACCGAGTTAAGGATACTCTGTTTAATCTGAAAATCTCTATTCCTTGAGAATTTTCCATTCCATCAACTTTTCCCGCAATTCCATAGCTGCTTCATTCATACCTGCACCAGCTATTCCTGCAACTATAGTGGAAAAGACGGATGAATTAACCTTGTGCCGACTTGATATCATCATCTTCAACACTTGTTTTGCAGAGTCCAGTTTACCGTTTTGACATAACCTGTGAATAATAAATCTATAACAATTATCTCTGACCCTGCGTCTGCTATTACCCATCTCTTTTAGTAATTCTACAGCTTCTTCAATAAGATCTGCTCGACAGAAACCCCAAATTAGACATCTATATGTAACATCATCAGGACAAATGCCATCCTTTTCCATCCGATGGTATAATTCCATCGCTTTCTCCATCAAACCATTCTTTGCAAGGCCATCAATGACTATGTTGTAAGTGATTATACTAGGAGAACAGCTGCTATCACTTAAACAGTGAAGAATTTGGACGGCCTCATCCACCATTGCCTCCTTACAAAGAGCACGTAGAAGTGTATTATAGGTTATTATGTCGGGTAAACAGTTTTGGGAGACCATCTGAGTAAAAGAATCAATTGCACGATCCAGAAGCCCATGCTTGCACAAACCATTGATTAAAATATTGTATGTCACAACACTAGGAGGATGTGAAGTTTCATTCATAACCGAAAGAATCTCATCTACCTCGTTCCAACATCCATAGGTTGAAAGGGAATGGAGAAGAGTATTGTACGTCACATCATTGGGCTCAAGGCCATGTGACAAAAGATAATAGATTAGTAAAGCTGAATCTTCAAAGTTCCCTTGCTTAGAAGCAAAATTTACCATGGAATTAAAGGTCACAAGATCTGGAGAACATCCCTCAACTGCCAAATCCTCCATTACCTCAAGAGCACGTATAATACCACAATGTTTGCAGACTAATTCAACCAGAATTGTACTGGTGATCGAATAAGGAGGACATCCTTTTCTTAACTGATCCTTCCAAAACTGAATGGCTTGATCGTATTTACTACGGTCAAACATAGCACGCAGTATAGTATTATAAGTGATAACATCGGGAGGGCAACCGCTAAAGCTCATATAGTCCAAGAAACCAATGGCAGAATTCAAAAGCCCTTTTCTACAGAGACCACTGATTAACATATTGTATGTGATAATATCTGGAGTCCCACCAGACATAACCATGATTTCTAGAACATTGGCAGCTTTGCCTGTCTGCCCAGCATTGACGAGGCCCCTGATCAAGTTTACGCAAGAAGGGCAGTCTGGAATTTGGTTTCGACGAGTCATAAGGTCAACCAATTTTGATGCTTCAAGCAACTTTCCATGACTGCAAAAACTTTTAAGGACTTTGTTGTTAGTTGTCTCATCATTTTCAACCAACGGTCCATCTAAGGTCAACCTTAAGGAACTAGAAAGTTTCTTTAAATGTTGCTCATTTGATCTCTTGTCAACAATTCTATCTAAGCTCCCAGCATTACCCTCTTTAACTCTATCAAGGCAGACACTTCCCTGCTTGCTTCTACAGAATAAAATCGAACCAGTTTTTCCTGAACCAAGAGCTCCCTGCCACTGCTGAGAAGATTGGCAACTAAAGTTACCGCTAAATGGATTTCTTAACAGAACATCTGGAGTTTTTATTAGCAAGGACAGATTGCTCCCAGTTTGGAGGTCCATTCGGCTGGAGCTTGAGTTCTGTATGTGCAGTGCAGGAGCTTCAATCAACAGTTTTGGGACTAGTGTATAAGCCATTGCTTTCTTCACGATAACACCAACGTTCAAGAGAGAAAGAGCATTTCTTCAGAAACTACTGTGTTCTTTCTGCAAATTAGAAGTACGCAGGATTGCAGCGGCATATGTGCAGCTAAACTTGAATTCTTCAAGGTGAGGTGCAATCTTAGACAAACTTGAAAAAAGAGACGGACCACAGATGGCAGTCTTGTCAACTGAAAAAGGTAAGAAGGTGGGTGGGGACGTAAGAGGACAAAACGTCTACTGAATATAAACCAAACAGAGAACATCAAAAGCAAGGCAATTTTTTGGTGGAGGAGGTTGAAACTTGACAGCATTTATCTTCAACACCTTTTATCAGGGAAAAACATCCGACAATACATAAATCTTATATGTGAAAGAGATCATCAAAGAACTCTGCTGTCAAAACCAGTAACTGTACAGTGTACACTAAGAAAAAAAGAATTTCATATCCAAATTTGACTTGACTCAAAAGTCAAAACACTTGACAAGAACAGTAATTAAATGAGTATCAACTAAGGAACTCCATAAGAAAATTCACCCAACACTATTAAGGAAGTCAAATGGAATATAGTAACATCACCCAAACAATCACATGTCAATTCCAAACTAGTTAGAGCCTGCGCTATGAATCCTCTTTAACCATTAGCTCTATTTGAGGCCATTGCATTCAAAACACAAAATAGTAACTTTAGTAAGAAACATTTGCTCACATAACACCCAGGCAATCGTTCTAAACATGATACAGTAACATATCTCACAAAAACATTTGCTCAACAGGAACAAATAAAGGCAATGAAATCACACATTTAATCTAATTTGTTATTTTACTTTCCTATGTACATTTTACACCAATCAAAAAGTGCTTTTGTCTTCCCAAAAAACAAGTCAATTCAGCCCACTTTCTTGGCTTCCTTAAACAAAATGAAGAACTAACTCGCATACCTAGCACTAAAGTAAGCAACTCTTGCATTACTACTATATATAACCACACAAAGCAACTACAACAACAACAAACCCAATATAATCCCACAAAGTGGCTCTGGGGAGGTTACAGTGTAGGCAAACCTTACCCCTACCTTACGAAGGTAGAGAGGCTGCTTCCAATAGACCCCACGAACTCAATAATAATAGCATAAAATCTTTATGGTAAAAAGATGAATTCCCACGATTCTCCATTCTGAGTGATATTATTGAGTCCAGGGGGTCTATCGGAAACAACCTCTCTGCCCTTCCAGGGATAGGGGTAAGGCTGCGTACATCTTACCTTCCCCAGACCCCACTTGTGGCAAAACTACTGTGTTTGTCGTTGTTGTCTCCATTCTGACTGATATGAATATTATTTGGGTAGTAGTTTTATAATGTCTTGTTTATTTTTTTTGATTTGCACCGGGTGTCCGAGTCTCCAAGAGCCCCGACTATTCCCGGGGGGTGCACAGGCCCTCGGCAAGGAGTTTCCCGCAAGTGCACCACGGTTAATTCAGGTTTTTACCCAGTCCGATGGCCCTCAGAAATTGTTTGCACCCAACGGGTTTCAAACTTTGAGACCTTGAAAGGGAGCAAACCCCAAGGCTCAAGTCTATTGCCACCAGGCCAACGTCTTGTTTATTAGTACAACTTTCATCCTTAACCAAATCTTTCATTGCTTCAATAAAACCAAATGTATTTCTATCTTTCGTTTAGTGAAACAATGCTCACCAATTTAATTAACTATACAATATCCAACAACCAATTCACTAAGCATCGTTTGGTATGATGGATAAGCAAAAATAATCCTGGGACAAAAATTTAGTACCGCCTTATCCCTTGTCTGGTTACTAATCGAGGGATAAGTTATCCCACCTACCAGAGGGTAGAATACTAATCTCATGATAAGTTATCCTAATATAAAGCAATAAAATTGACAATTCCAGGATTAATACAACATACCAAACAGTCAATAAGAAATACTACCAGTATAACTAATCCCAACATAACTTATTTTCAAACCAAACGACCCCTAAGAATAACTGAATTTCGAGTTGGTTAGCCAAGCTGGTCAGCAAAAAACTAATTTTTGGGGAAAACCCATCACTCTAGAAACCCAAGAACTTAATATTAAACAAAGAAACACTTAACTACTTAAATAACAAAACTTGTTCAGCTTTTATTACAATCTTTGGCTAACAATTCAATAGTAATATCTGATATTCCAACCCAGAAGCTTGTGAAAAAAACAAAATTAGAAAGAAAAACCGAATAAAGTGAAAGTATATGAAAGCAATAAGCCATGAAGGTACCTGCAGTGTTTCCTGTGTTGTGGTTTGAGTATTTGGAATTGGTTTCGGACTTGAAAAACAGAGGAGAGGGATTATTTGGGGGCAAAACTATGAATATAAGGATTAACGAGGTTGGTTTATAAAGTAGGATAGTGGGACGTTAATAACTAGGGTTGAAGTTTTTAGAAATTTGCATATTGACTCCTCTTTCCGACTTAATAAGAACTTTGGTACCTTAAAGGTAAAAAGTAAATAAGCTTGAAGGACATGAAAGAAATGAGTAAAAAATTACATATTTAGAGCCCGTTTGGACATAAATTTTTTTTCCTTTTTTCAATTTTTTTTACTGTTTTTCGAAATCAGCGTTTGTTCATAAATTTTCCAATTATTATCTGAAGATGCATTTTGGAAATTTTCGAAAATTTGAAAAATTCCAAAAGGCTGTTTTTCAAAATTTTCACTCAAAGCACTCACAAAACTTCAAAAACAACCCAAACTTAAAATTTATGTCCAAACACAACTCTAAATTTCAAATACCATTTTCACTTGAAATTTTTTTTCACCATTTTTTAAAATTTTACAATTCTTATGTCCAAACGCCTACTTAGTAAATGATGGCATTCTAAAGAGGATTAACTTTTTTTTCACCTCATTTTATTTTTTGAGTTTTTTCACCTCATATTTAAACACACAAAAAAAAGAGCACTTTAAATACAAGGAAAGTCTATGTAAAATAATTATGATTATATAACTTTAGAAAAGGTGTTCAAGAATATGAATAATATCCTTTTTCTATAGCATTAATACCGTGCTTGAGAACTGAGAAGTAATTCTTCAAAATGCTTAAAGATGGAGTATACTTCATTATTTATTTTACATGCTATAAGAACAATTTTTTGTTAGATTTTGTCGCGTCGCTCTTTGCGCTACTAGGTGCCTCGGTGATTTGAGAAATGCCCTTCTATCTATATCTATATCTATATTTATATCTATCTGTATCTATATTATTATAAAAGCATGAATACAATGTCGGTTTACCAAAATAACCTTATAGCATTAAGCATAATAACTCATTATAAAAGGACATAACCGAAATTCTAGATAGTAGCCTTATAATCCTATTAGTTTTAGGACATAGAGCCTGTTTGACTTAGCTGATTTAGAGTAGCTGATAAGCATTAGGTGTTGAAAAGCACTTTTTAGTGCTGAAGCTGATTTAAAAAATAAGCAGTTATGTGTTTGGATAAAAGTGCTGAAATTCATAATATGCAACTGAAGAACTAGGTATACGAAGAGTTTTGTTTTAAAAAGAAGTATTTTAGGGATAGAATAGTAAATATTTTGGTCAAACTTAAACTGCTTATAAGCTGAAATTCGATAAGTTGGGGGAGACCAACTTATGACTTTTGGCTTATTTTTGGCTTATAAGCATTAACTTATAAGCACTTTTAATTTTACCAAACGCGTAGATAAGCCAAAAAGTGCTTATAAGCCAGTTTGACCAGCTTATAAGCTTAGCCAAACACCCTCATAATACTACACGCTAGGAATCCTACATGATTACCTTTAGGAATCCTATTAATATAATTATTTTCCGGCTTTCTAACTCAAATAAAATTGAACAAGTAAATACTTCCAGTCATGTAATCTTGTTACTTTTAGGATATACTTCTTAAATATTTCTATTATTAATTTAATTTAAAAACATATTATAATGTCCTGTAACTAATTTAATTTGAGAATGTATTATATTTTTCAAATTCATTTAGAAAAAAGGAGAGCCTATATTATTATAAAAGCATAAATACTTTAGTAATATACCAAAATAACCCTAAAATATTAAATGGAAGAACTCATAGGGAAATGGCGTAACTGTACTTATTTTTGGAGTACAATAACTTCTATGCTAATTTTTAATATTTAATATTTTAAAATTAATAAAATTTGTCTATTAAATTCTTATTAAAAATATGTAATCCTCTGTATTGCTAATACATTACCACTTCAATATCCAATAAAAAAATTAAATGTAATAATGATTGGATGACATAAAGAGTTAAAATTGAGGGG